ATAATACTAAATCCTTTTTTATCAAGAAACTAAAAATTTTCAAATTTATTATAAGGAATCCATTCTAAAAATTACTTTTATTTTAAGCATTTTTTTGAATAAATTTATCAATAAATTCATTTTTACTAGTCCAATTAAAAAAATTTTTTTATAAATAATTTAGAATAACATTATTATATCATTTATATCTAGTATTTTTTTTATTATAATTTAAGCAATTTTCTTTTTTTCCTAAAATATAATTTTATATTAATATTATAATTAATATTTAATATAACTATCAAAATAAAAATGTAATACTTACTAAACTTTAAATTAATAAATTTAAAATATATTATATTTTATATTATTATTTATTAATTATTATATTTTATATTAAAAATAAATAAAATTATTTACTATTTATTATTATATATTTTAAATAAAAAATTTAATAAATTTAATTAAGTTTAATTACAATAAAAAATATATTTAAATACTATAAATTAATAAAAATAATTTACAATCTGAATTTAAATAATTTTTAATAAAGATTTAACTAAATTAGATTATAGTAAAGGTATAGAACATTAAATCTAATAATCAATAAATAATTTACCATTTATTACATTATATTATTTTTAAAAACAATTTAGTTAAGTTTATATTATAGTAAAAAGTATAATTAAATATTAATAATTAATAAAATAACTTATTTTTTTTAAATTTTTAAATAAAAAAATTTAATTGAATTTAAATTACAGTAATATGTATATTTAAATACTAAAAATTAATTAAAATAACTTATAATCTAAATTTAAATATTTTTAAATAAAAAATTAAATTGAGTTTAAATTATAATAAAAGTAGTAAAAGTATAATTAAATACTAATAATTAATAAAAATAACTTATAATTTAAATTTAAATATATTTTTAATTAAATATTTATATTACAATAAAAAGTATATTTAAATATTAATAATTAATAAAAATGTCTTACTTTCTATTGCATTATTAATTATTAAATATTTTTTAAATAAAAATTTTAGTTGAATTTAAATTATATTAAAATATAATTAAATAAAAAATAACTTAATATCTGTTACATTATTAATTACTAAATATTTTTAGATAAAAGATTTGATTAAGTTTATATTATAGTAAATATATGTTTTAATAATATTAATTAATAAAAATAACTTATCATCTATTTTATTATTAAATATTTTAAATAAAATATTTAGTTATTTAAATTATTAATAAAAAATATAATAAAATACTAGTAAATAATAAAAATAACTTACATTTTAAATTTAAAAAAATTTTTAAATAAAAATATAGTTAAGTTTATATTATAATAAAAAGTATAATTAAATACTAATAATTAATAAAAATAATTTACTTTCTAATAAATTTATTTTTTAAAATTATAATATAATCAAATAACTTACTATCTATTGCATTATTAATAATTGAATAATTTAGTTAAGTTTAAATTATAATAAAAAGTATAATTAATACTGATAATCAATAAAAATCACTTACAATCTAAATTTAAATATTTTTTAAATAAAAAATTTAGTTGAGTTTAATTATAATAAAAAATAAAATTAAATACAAATAATTAATAAAATAACTTACTAACTATTGAAATATTAATTATTAAATATTTTTTTTTAAATAATTGGGTTTAAATTATAATAAGAAGTATTTAAATATTAATAATTAATAAAAATAACTTATTTTCTTTAGTTTTTAAAAAAAAATTTAATTATATTTAAATTACATTAAATGTATAATTAAATACTAATAATTAATAGAAATAATTTACTTCTTTTAGTGTTTTAAATAAAAAATTTAGTTGAATTTAAAATTAAAGTAATTAAAAATAATTCTAAAAAAAAATTTACAATCTATAGCATTATTAATTATTGAATATTTTTTAAATAAAAATTTAGTTGAGTTTAAATTACAGTAAAAGTATAATTAAATACTAATAATCAATAAAAATAACTTACTCCCTTTAGTTTTTTAAATAAAAAATTTAGCTGAGTTTAAATTACAGTAAAAAGTATATTTAAATACTAATAATCGATAAAAATAATTTACCTATTGCATTATTAAATATTAAATAAAAATTTAGTTGAGTTTAAATTACAGTAAAAAGTATAATTAAATTTTAAGTTATTATTTTAAATTAATTTGATTAGTCGAAACTTCAAATAATCAAACTTACTTTCTATAATATTATCAATATATATTAATATTGTTTATTTAAATTGAATTAAAAAGTAATACATAACTTACGATCTATAATATTTGAAATAAAATTTAGTTGAGATTAAATTAATATATTTGTATAATTAAATATGGATAACTAATAAAATAACTTACCGACTAAAATGTTGTTAACCATTTAATAAAATAAATTAGTTAAGCTTACAATAACTTACTCCTCAGTATAATTAATCATTAGAAATTTAAATCAAAGTTAGTTTACATGTTAAAATATATCAATAGGAAAATGACTTACATTCTATAGTATATCATCAATCATTGAATTTTTATTTATTTTATTTAAAAAAATATTTTAATTATTAAAGAATTATAATTTCACTTAGCAAATAGACGAACGTTCATTACCATTTAATTCTTTTAATGTAGGAGCATCAAGGAGCATCCGAAACAGGCTCTAATGTATTGCAAACATTTTGTTTAAAGAAAAATAATTAGAATATCGTCCCAAGTCCGTTTAAACACCTTGTTTTGGTCAATACGCTCACCATCTTCATTTTATAACAGCTTTTTTATTACTTTTGTTTTCTTTGGTAAATATATTTTTAAACTTTTTTATTACACTTTTATCGTTACTGTTGAACATTTTTGTAAATTTAAAAAAAAAAAATTCTATTATATTTTTATTATCTTGAGGTAATTTGACAATATCAGGTTTGCTTAATTATGCAAATATACAAGGAAACTATAATATTTATTATATTATTCATCCTGCTAAAATAGTTCCAGTCTGGATTTATTGCATATTAAATACATGTAAATGAATAATTCAAAAATTATAATTGGAAGCTTTTAAAAAGCTAAACCACACACTTCCAATCAATTACAGGTGGAATGCTATTACTTGGAAAAATTTAGAATCTGATTTCTTGTTAAATCCCATAAAGGGCCAACCTCATATTTCTATTTATTTGAATCAACATATGATAAATTCGCTCAATGAACTTCGACATTAATTATATACCTGATTCAATTACAACAAAACGTCCTCTAACAGCAATTCAAATGCTCTTTCCTGAAATCCTGTACTGCGCTTCGGACTAGAATCGTATATACTTTGTTGCGTTTACAAATTGAGAAGCTGGACATTCATAAACAATGATATTTTTCCTTCCCACTCTTATCCATTCCTGGTAGACTTATTGAAAGTTTTTTTTTTTAAAATGTTTGATGAATTAATTTTGAGGATTCCTTTATCTTTAACAAAACAAATTATAAAATAAAACTATCATTAGATATTATCTTTGTAAGTAATTCAAGGGAAACCATTAATACTTAATCTCATTATTTTCACACAAAATCATTAAAATCTAAATAAATACTAGCGGTAATAATAATTAAAAGTAATGTCCACAAAAAAAAGGTGTTATTAAATCATGTATGGTATGGATTTTTATGTATGGAATGTATGGTTCCAATCATTTATGTATGGTTTTTCCATACCGGTATGGTTTTTTCATAAATGTATGGTTATTTGCCACAAAAACCATACCGGTAATTTTTCAAAACTATTGAATATTTATATATTTAATTAGATTTCATCATCAGATATAGTTTCAATATCTTAAAAAATAATCGGATTTGCTTGAACAGATAATTAAAAACTCTGAGAAAAATAAGTCGCGTTGGTAGTTTTGTTTTATTCATTATATTATAATGAGTAAAAATCAGGTGTAAATTTTAAGAAAAATTTATAAAATAGAAACTTAATTTATTAAAGCAATACAAAGTAAAATTAATTAAAATTTTGCATTTATCAAATAGAAGTATTTAATTAATCGAATGAAAAAATTTAAAAACTTTATTATTCGGTTAATTCAGAAAATATATTTTTTTTTATTTGCAGATTCATGGCAAGCTATACTAGACAAAAGGTTGATGCAGATGCATTTTTGATGTAAAGCTAAATTTCCAGATTCTGGTAAAATTAAATAAGAAAGCTGCAACGTAATTTTAGAAAATCCATACATGTCATACAAACCATACATAAAAATCCATACCATACATGATTGCTATATACCCAAAAATAAAATAATCCCTGATATATTGATACCTACCGTCGAGCATCTGGTGAAAAGCTAAATGAATAATAACCCTCACTATTGATATCCGGTAATGCTCCTTATAATGCCAGCAATAGTTTATCCATTGTATGCTGCTATATCATTATGCTGATTAGGATTGTTGAATATGAAGACTCTAGTCCTGGGAAAAGTTTCTTAGGGACAGCTGATATCGACTCATTTATTTTTTACCGTAGAAAACACAAGTTGGAACGGTATAGAATGCCGGAATAGGTACTAAGATTGCTCACAATATTCACCGGATCCACGATCGCAAGAATGCGGAATGTCTAGAGATAGGTTCCAAGGTCTTCACAAATACTAGTATAAGTTTCAAAACATTTCCAACGTCAGTCCACTTCGAACGATATTATTTGATCATTAATATTATTTTTTCGCATACAATTTATGATCATTCTCCTTATCAATATGATTCGTATTTTGTTCTTATTTTCTTTTGGTTTATTTGATCTTTAGAGATAATAAAAAATCATCATCATCCTTTGAAATTATAATGTCAACAAACTCTCTTCGGCTAAGCTTTCTATTTGCACTATGTTGTTGTTCTCGGTAAGATGTTCCTTTTTGATTCGATATTCAGAATCAAATATGCTATTTCGTTAATTTGATATTATTTCTAAGATTTTGCCTTTATTGACGCTCTAATTTATTTCATTAATTGAAATAGAAAAGATGGTTTTCGCATGATCCTATAAAAAAACGAGTAATTTATTAATGGTCGAACTAATTTAGATTTTTAAGGTCAGAGTTGAATGATTAGAGATCCCGTCAAAGAATTACATGATGGTACCTGGAGGTTATTTTGAGGCGCTCTAGTATTTGAACTTCTCTGCTTATACCCTTTTACAAAACTAGAAGTCGCCCTATACAATATAGTGAATTCCTATAAGACATTCTCTTTTAAGACTGCTTGGAGTTGAGCCATGACGTTGTTTTTCAGACGCCTTTTGGGAGGGGGGACTAATTTAAACTGGTGAATGTCTTATAACTTAGCAAGCGACATAATCACTAATCGACAAGTTTTCATTGCATTCATTCTCTCCATCCCAATAATGGTTTCCTAGTTAGGCAAAAATTTTCCTATGTCGTCAAATCGATTGACAAAAAAATATCAAGAGATATCCCGTTTCAAGAAAGCATAAAATTATTCCAAAAGAGAACATGTCCATTGCAAAATTGACTTTCCTTGATTGTACGCTCTTATTATTTCGGGATCCGAATGATTTCTATATACTAAACTATTGACCTTTCAATATAACCGTTCTTTTCCTTGAAAAGTCGCATTATATTCTTTTGGTATTAATTTAGTAAGAACTATTAAAAAAAAGTAATCAAGAAGTTTATTAATTAAGTTCATATAAATTTTCTGCGACCTTACAGAAACTTACCAATTTCATATTTTTGAAGTTCTGAGAATCGCGTTACTAAATCCTAATAACTTAAATATTTTGCTTTAATTTTTTACAACCAGATTTGCGGTATTAATTACCTTTATTTGTCATCTTTCTCCTTATGTCTTTTGATTAAAATCTTGATAACTTAAAATGTTTCGAAGTTCATATAAATCACACAGCATACCATATTTTCTTGTTATGGGATGGATAATTATTCATCTATATGGATAAAATTAGAATCGGTATTTTTGAATTAATTCGACTCCTTTATAAATATTTGTAATTACCTTCAAATTCATGCGTTAAATCTCGGATTAATTTTAGGATTGTGATATTATCTGGCTCCAGTTCATGCCCCCAGCCAAAATTTGCGATAACAGATTCTTGTTATTGCGGTTAATCGCATATTGTACGGTAATAAATACAAACAATGAGTAAAATGAGTGATTGTTAATGTCCAAGTCAATCTTTTTACCAGACCTATTAGTATAATTAATATAAATTCCGATTTCAAACATACCAAGATTTCACTTGTAGTATAGGCTCATAATTGGACGGAGGATATTGGACAGAACTTTGTGATAGTGCATCCTGGAAATAAGTCATCTTCTATATTCATTCCAGAAATTTTATCTTTCAATTCTTCATAGCCTTTGATTCGTCAATTAGTTACCAAAAACTTCTAAATATTTTATTGTACGCGTACGCGCGTTAATAATTAAATATTTGAACAATTAAATGTAAAGCTACTTAAATTATTATTCTTCCATTATTATCGAGAACCGATAATCATAGCTTGTTAGGTGATTGCCAGTAACTAAATTCTTTTGTTTTACAAATCTATTTTAGATGATGTAATTAATTAAAAAATATTGGGTTTACATCACTTCTCAAATTTTCTTTCGTTTGATTTTGAGTGAGCAATTTTAACGTAGATGTAACGGAATCAGTGGTAGATAAGTTACACAGTATTTTCCGCAATTGTGTTAAACCGAGAACATACATATATAATAATAAACCAGGGAACGGAAACCGTTCTGGTCTAATTTCGATAACATGGCTAACAATTAAATAAGCTTATTTATGTAACACAAAAATTGGTAATAAACAAATCCACAAATTTCATTCGTCGATCAGGCTATAGTACAGAACGACATTGCATTAGAAATGCTAAGGTCCTCCGCCATGCTTCGGACAATAATAATATAAATCTTTTAACTATTACAACTTCGAATAATAAGTGAATAGCATAATTTGGCTGATTCACTTCACAAAAACAAACAATGAAATAGAACTGCAACCCGTCACAATTTCTAAATCCGTTTATCCGATTCCTTAACGGTGTTAGACCTGGAATTGAACCGAAACCAAGCTAACAAACTAAATAACTTAAAAACTCAATTATCTCGAAGGCCTTTTCTAAGAGAATTAAATGATTAACAAACAAAACGATCGATTCACTTGTGTAGTAAGTTATCATACTGATATGAAGACAAGAAGAAGGTTGAAACTATAAATAGTAACTTATTAATCTGTAGAGTTATAAGTCTAATCCCAAGACTTATCTCAACCTCTGAGTAAAACTTTGTCGATTCAAGGTCAACTTACAGGTCTATTTATATAAAATTGCTAACTGTTATTATGCTACGCCTTTCAATAATAATAAGTAATACATAAAATGAAATTAAATAAAATAATACAAGTAATGGAAGATAATATATATAATGAAAATGTAAATTATTCGATACATGTCAAACGTAACATGTATCACAAGTGTTACATGATTAACATGTATTACTGTATTACTTTTATGATAATCGCCGCAGTGTGAGGTCATCTGAGGCGCAGTAGGATTTGCGACTAACCCTTTAAATCTACAAATCCAGGAAAGATATGTTGTAACCCAAATACGTTAATCGCATTTGGGTTACAACAGCTATACAAAGGTAACACTGATTATTGATAATCGGTGGCTTAGAAATTAACGTTACATGATTTACCAAGTGCATTTTTTTTTTTCTTGCATTTTTTTATTTTTTTTTTACCAAGAATTCTTACCATTCCATTTTACAAAAAAAAAATACAAAATTATCAAAATGCAAGCTGACAATGATTCAAATGGGTGGATTAATTTGATAGATGAATATATTTTAAGAAACAATATCAAATGTTACGAATACAATCATTTTAGCAATTTTCAAGAGATCGGTACTGGCAGCTTTGGAAAAGTCTATCGCGCAAATTGGAAAAGTTCAAAACAACCTCTTGCGTTGAAATCCTTTCATAACCTTAACAACGCCACTGTTAAAGAAATAGTTCGTGAGGTAATTACAAATTATAAAATGTATTCCGGTCTATTTCAATCTGTTTAATATAAATTATATAAATTTATTTTTAGTTCGAACTTCAAAGCGAAGTCGATTTTCATGATAATATTATTCGCTTTTGTGGAATAACTTCAAAACAAAGTATGTAATGTTCAAAAACAAACTGAGAAAGATAAAAATAGACCTTGGATTTGTATTAGCTTCCTGAAATATGAAGAAATAGCTAAGCAAGGAAAAACTATCCCAACCCACATGACATTTATCAATGAAATATTGGATCAAATTGTATGGAATAACTTGCCTAATAGTCTTGCAGAAATTATGCAAGCGGAAACCGTGAAAGAGGAAGTTGTGATTCCAAAGCAACAAAAGGAAATTGACATTCTGATGGAAGAAATGAAGACAGATTTGTCACCAACATTTCTGAAACTGGACAATCAACCAGAGTTGGAAGAACTAATATAGCTCAACATAAAATTATACAAGAAATGTTGACCCAATTAGAAGAAATTATTATTGAATGACAAAAGAAGAGCAGGAATTTATCTATGGAGAAATTAAAAAGATGCTATATGAAGGAATTATTCAAACATAAGACAGTCTATGAGCATCACCTGCAATTCTTGTAAAGAAAGCAAATGGAAAGAAAAGATTATGTATTGATTATAGAGGACTCAATAAACTCATGAGAGAAGATGCCTATCCTTTGCCTAGAGTTAATGAAATCTTAGAAAACTTAAATGGAGTAAATGGTTCTCAACATTTGACCTAGCTAGTGGATTTTGGCAAATTGAAATAAATCCTAAGAACAGAGAGAAAACTGCATTCGTGATTAAAGGAGGACATTATGAATTTAATGTTATGCCTTTTGGTTTGTGCAACATTTTTGCAACTTTTTAGAAAACAATGAATAAAGTATTAGAAGAATACATTAATTGATTTGTAGCAGTTTTCATTGACAATATTATCGTTTATTCGAACAGTTTTAATGAACATTATAAATGCTTTTCCATAAACTAAGAAAGGCAAATTTAGCCTTAAACAAAGAGAAATACGAAATGTTCAAAAGAGAATTACAATTCTTAGAATATAAAATTAATGAATATGGAATCTTACCAGACCCTCAGAAGATAGAAAAAGTTCAAGACTTCCCTGTACCAAAGAATGTAAGGCAAATTAAAGAATTTTTTAGATTGACATCATATTACCAAAAATTTATTAAGGATTTCTCTAAAATAGCCAAACCTTTGAATAATCTAACTAAAAAAGAAGTTAAATATGACTGGATCAATAAATGTTAAAATGCATTTGAAATCTTGAAAGTAAAACTGATGCAAGCTCCAATATTAGAATATCCAGATTTTGATAAAATGTTTTATTTTTTTACTGATATCTCAGGAATTGGATTAGAAGCTGGTGTTCGCACAAAAGGATGATCAAGAAAAAGAGAAAGTAATTGCCTATGCAAGTAGAACCCTTAATATACATGAACAAAATTATAATACTCAAGAATTAGAATATCTAGCGATCAACTGGACAGTTGAATACTTTTATCACTACACTTCTTTAAAACCCTTTATTTTAGTAACTGATAATGTAACATTGAAATGGCTACAAACTTCAACCGTAAAAAATCAAATTAAAAGAGCTAGATAGTTGTTAAATCTTTAGCAATATACATTTCAAATTCAATACTGTTTAGGAAAGAATAATGCAAATGCTAACATTTTATTCAGAATAGACTCTGATAATAATAAAGATTCTAGCGAAATTATGGAAACTTGCATGATTTTGTACGATAATACCAAATAAGTAAAAGTAATAATACTATCGATAATCTTACCAAACAAATAGAACAGTTATCCTTAAATTATGCAACTCTCTCCAATGCGTTGCCTACGCAACTTGAAGGAAAACCTGAAAGAAGAAAGCCAAAAGATGATATAAATCTTATGAAAGTTTAGGATAAAAAAGATGTTATTTGTTTCTGTTACTAAGAAAAAGGACATTATTCAAAAGAATGCATATATGAAAAACTAGTATATCAAAAGAAATCTGATAAAAGAGAAACTATTGGAGTTTATCGAAAGAAATCTGATAAAAGAGAAACTAGTTATATTAGAGTTTATACTGATAGCGAAGAAGAAGAAGTTGAAAAAGTAGAAGAAGAAGAAGTCTATGCCTTTCACAAAATAAATCTTATACCACTAATAGAAAAACTGCTTAACAGTTAGAAGTAGAAAGGAAAAGACAATCTGAATCCAGAAGAGAATTAAACTTGAAAAGCAGAAAACCTATTGATGAATTTATAGAAGTAGAAACTTCACAAATTATTACCTCTGCTCAAAAAAAGAAAGTTAAACAAGAACCATCCCAAATTGATCAAATGTCTTCCTATAATATTATGTAAGATTTATTGCAAATGCCTTCTTTTGTAAAAATTGGTCAACTTTTACAATATCCAAATCAAAGACATAATCTTGCTTAAGATTAAAAAGACCAAAAATCTAAGAAATAAATTATATTAATCAGGAAAGTGAAGAAAAAAAGGAAGATAAATCTACAGCTATTTGTTATTATGTCAGAATTAAAGGAAATTCTGTAGTTGCTATCCTAGATTTTGAAGGTGCTGTCAGCATTATCACCAGAAAATTAATGAAGAAAGTTGGATTATCTATTGATGAACAGGCTAATACTGTCATAGTTACTGCTAATGGAGAAAGAACTAGAGCATTAGGATAAGTTAGAGGACTCAAATTATTATTTAAAACTATTAATTCCTATCTCTTTATAAGTACTTGACTCTCAAGATGAAACTTTACTTTTAGAAATAGACTGGTTTAGAAAAATTTATGCTAGCTTTGATTTTAGAACTAACCAGATTAAGTTGAGATATTTAGCGAAAACAATCACAGTTCCTGTAACTTTTAGTGTAAATAAAGCTTCTGTTAGTTATCCTACTACTCAAGATCAACAAGATGACAAATTAGAACAAGTTTTATATGATTATGAGGAAGAAAAACTTAGCGAAATTGAAGCTTATACAGCAGATAGTCAAGAAGAATATGAGGAGGAAACTGACCTTTTACCTCTCATTTACAATTTATGGAATGAAGAAAACTCTGTTTATTTAACTCTTAAATTTAAGAAAGAATTTGAGCCTAACCTAGCAGTATTTCTTACTGAAACATCTAAAGAAAATATTTGGAAATTAAAGATGATCTTCAAGTTAGGCCTCTTAATGACAAGCAACAAACGTCCTTTCAAAAATTAATTAATGATTACAAAAATATATGTGCTTTAAGCCAAATAAAAATTAGACAAACTAGTTTGGTAAAATATAATATTTTGACCAATAATCATGATCCAGTTACCACAAAAGCTTATAAGTGTAAGGATTCAGTAAAACTTAATTTTCTCAAAGATGAAATTAAATGTATGGAAGAAAATGAAATTATCAGAAAGTCATTAAGCCCCTGGGCTTCCCCTGTGATTATAGTAGCAAAGAAAACTAAAGATAAACGAATCTGCATTGATTACAGAAAATTAAATTTTATCTCTAAAAGTAATGCATATCCTCTATCGAGAATTGATAATTTATTAGAGAAATTCAGAGAAGCAAATTGGTTTTTCACACTTGATCTTGCTAGTGGCTATTGGCAGGTAGAAATGAGTGAAAAGAATAAGGAAAAAACTGCTTTTATTTCTCAGTTTAGCCTGTACAAATTCAATATTATGTCTTTTAATTTAAAGAATGCATCAGCAACCTTTTAAAGATTAATGAATTATATTCTTTAAGAATTCTTATATAAATTCATTACTGTTTATTTAGATGACATCATTATTTACTCAATAACTTATGAGAATCATATTTAACATTTGAGAAAAGTATTCCAAATAATCAAGCAAGCAAATTTAATGATCAAGCTTAAAAAGTGTCACTTTTATCTACCTAATATAATGTACTTAGAACATGTGGTTGAAAGGAATAGATTATAACCTAATCCTGCAAAAATTGATAAAGTTAAAAGCTTTCCCATTCCAGTTGACTTAATAAGTTTAAGGTCTGCATTAGGATTATTTTCATATTATCGACGATTTGTTTTAGGATTTTAAAAATTGCTAAACCTTTAATTCAATTATTGAAAAAGGAAGAATCGTTCTCTTAGACAGATGCTTAACAAAAGGCTTTTGATATTTTAAAGGAAAAATTAATTACTGCACCCATTTTGCAGTATTTAAATTTTAATAAACTGTTTATCCTATACACTGATACTTCTGAAAATGGCTTAAGAGCTATTCTCGCTCAAAAGTTAGAAAATTGACTCGATTGTGTAGTAGCATATGCCAGTAGAAGTATAAATAAAACTAAACAAAATTATGAAATAACTGGTCAGGAATGCCTTGCAGTTATATGGGCTGTAAGATACTTTCACCATTATTTAAGCTCACAATCTTTTACCATTATTACCGACCATTCAGCTCATAAACATCAAAAATTTCTAAAGGAAGAAGAGTATAATAGATCATGAAACTCCAATAATATGATTTTGAAATTAAGCATAGGCTAGAAAAACTAAATGCTAATGCTGATGCTCTTTCTCAAATTAATACTGATCAAAAATATGAAGATAATACATATGAAGTTTTCATGGTAATTACTGTTGAAGTTGAGGAATTAGAAGACGAATGGCATATTTCTTCTGAGCATAACTCTATTAAAGATAATGAAGAAATATGATTTGAAGAACAATTATTTCAACAATTTTCCAATGTACCTTTAATTACTACAATTGGATATGAAAGCCTAAAGGATGAAATGGAAGATATATATTGTAAAAATATTAAAATTAAATCAGTCATAGCTAACTAACTTATTACCAAAAGAGGATCTCAATATACTTTTACCTGTGATATTGAGAATCATTATATTCACACCTACTGTAAAGTGTTGTCACGATGGTTTCGTAGCTTCAAATAAAATCTCAAAAGAGGTAAATAAAACTAAGACAATTACTCAAGGAATCATGGGTGAGGATTCACAATAACGTCGAAGGATTATTCTCAATATAAATCACGTGAGGTAAACACAAAATAAACACAAACATAACTCAAAAATATTTCAGAGATTACGCTTCAGAGACTCCAAGTCAATACAGCGAATCAATACAATATCATATAATAAGTTCACTAA